GAAGAGAGGAAGGAGCATCTTCGCGGGCAGGCTTGCAAACCTAGGGAGGAGGGCTTTAAACTAGGTTCCTCGGGTGACAGTGACCTAAGCCATGTAAATGGGATACCAGGAAGAAACACAAAGAGAAGGGTGCAACAGAAGAGGACTCCGATTCATACTGAGAAATTAGGGCAATCAGCTAGTTATCTTAGGTGTCTGTATACAAACACAAGAAGCCTGGGAAACAAGCAGGAAGAATTGGAACGCCAAGCACAGTCAAAGAACTATGATGTAATTGAAATAACAGAGACTTGGTGAGAATAATCACATGCTTGGAGCACTGTCATGGAAGGGTATAAGCTGTTCAAGAAGGACAGGAGGGGGAGAAAAAGTGGAGGAGTTGCCCTGTATATAAGAAAGCAGTATGATTGCTCAAAGCTCCAATATAAAACATGGGGAAAGCCTGTTGAGAATCTTCGGGTTAAGTTTAGAGGCAGGAGCAACAAGGGTGATGTCGTAGGGGAGTGTCTGCTATAGACCATTCAATCAGGTAGATGAGGTTTATGAGGCTTTCTTCAGACAGCTAACAGAAACTTCCAAATCACAGGTCCTGGTTCTCACAGTGAACCTCAGTCACCCAGACATCTGCTAGGAGACCAATACAGCAGTATACAGACAATCCAGGAAGATTTTGGAGAATGTTGGAGACAACTTCCTGGCACAAGAGCTGAAGGAATCAACCAGCGGCTATGCTCAACTCAACCTGCTGCTCACAAAAAGGGAAGAATTGGTAGAGGAAGTATGTGTGGGTAGCACCTTGGGCAACAGTGATCATGAGATAATCAAGTTCAGGATCCTAACCAAAAGAAGAAACAGTAACAGCATCACTCCCCCTTTTTGATTTTTGAGAAATCCTCTCCCCCCCCCCCGCCAGGATGCCCAAGCCAGAAAAAAACAGAAAATACTGGACATTTCACATGGTATTTTCTGAATTTTTTTACTATACAGACCGGGCTCTTTCTTAGAGCCTCACTCCCCCCCACCCACCAGAATTTCTTCATGCCCCACCCCTCAGGGGGGCACACACCCCCAGTTTGGGAACCTGTGCATTAGAGAGAGTTCAGCTAAGGATAACAAAAATTATCAGGGGGCTGGAGCACATGACTTATTAGGAAAGGCTGAGGGATTAGGGCTTGTTTAGCCTGAAGAATAGAAAAATGAGGGGGGATTTGATATCAGCATAGGTATGTCTACACTACACAGTTAATTCAAACTAACAGCCATATATGTATAACTAATAGCGGCTATACATGCAAACCGCTAGTTTGAATTTAAATCGAACTAGCGGAGCGCTTAATTCGAACTAGGTAAACCTCATTCTACGAGGACTAACGCCTAGTTCGAATTAAGTAGTTCGAATTGAGGGCTGTGAAGCCACTTAATTTGAACTAGTTGGAGACTAGCCCTTCCTAGCTTGCCCTGGTGGCCACTCTTGGCACAACCAGGGAAACTCTTCAGCCCCCCTCCCGGCCCCAGAGCCCTTAAAGGGGGACAATCTGACTACAGTGCACCTGGCACGGCATGAGCCAGCCACCCGCTGCCACCCAGCCCTCCGCCTCTTCCCAGGACCAGGCTGGCAGCTCCCAGGAGCCTGGCTGGGGCCGCAAGAGGCAGGCGCCTGCTTGGTCTAGTGTGGAGATCGTGGACCTCATTGAGGTTTGGGGGGAGGCCTCCAACGTCCACGACTTCTGTACTAGGCACAGGAGTGCGGCCGTCTAGGGCAGGATAGCTGCCAGCCTGGCCACAACAAGCCCTAGGAGAACCCTGCTCCTGGATTCGCATGTGGCCTTTGGTGGCCAGGCTGGCAGCTATCCTGTCATAGACAACCTCATTCCTTGGTCTAGTGTGGAGATCATGGACCGCATTGAGGTTTGGGGGGAGGCCTCCAACGTCCACGACTTCTGTACTAGGCACAGGAGTGCGGCCGTCTAGGGCAGGATAGCTGCCAGCCTGGCCACCAAAGGCCACATGCGAACCCAGGAGCAGGTTTGCATGAAAATCAAGTTGTTCCAGTGAGACCCCCGACTCTGAGCCCTGAGCTTAGAACATAAAAACATAAGAACGGCCGTACTGGGTCAGACCAAAGGTCCATC